GGAATATATACACCATGGAATATATACACCAGGGAATATATACACCATGGAATATATACACCATGGAATACTATGCAGCCATAAAAAGGAAGGAGATCATGTCCTTTGCAGGGACACGGATGAAGCTGGAAGACATCATTTTCAGCAAACTATCACGAGAACAGAAAACCAAACACAGCATGTTCTCACTCATAAGTAGGAATTGAACAGTGAGAACACATGGACACAGAGAGGGGAACATCACACACTGGGGTCTGTCGGGGTGGGGGGTGAGGGGAGGGAGAGCATTAGGACAAATACCTAATGCACGTGGGTCTTAAAACCTAGATGACAGGCTGACAGGTGCAGCAAATCCCCATGGCCCGTGTATACCTGTGTAACAAACCTGCACGTTCTGCACATGTATCCTGGAACTTAAAGTAAAAAAGAAAAAGAATTGCTTTTTCTAAAAAAACTGAAAGTTCAGAACTGTAAGCAGTAGCTCCTCATAGAGCAAGGTGGTGAAGGGCTCAAGTTGGAGCACTTCTGAGACACACACGGATGACACACAGAGGCCTGGGGGAGCTCCTTTAGAGGCTGGATGTGCTGAGCACCTGCCCGGCTCCCTTCCCTTCCCTCTCGGGGTCAATGCTGCATTCTTGCACACGTCCAGAGAGCCTGGAAGTCTCTCCAGTGCCTGCGTTTGTGGCTGTGCCTGTGGGGGCTGCAGGCCTCTGGGAAAGAGGGATCCCGCAGGTCTGCGCCAGCTGGTGGGCGTCCCACAGGGGTCTTGATCTGGGACTGGCCAGACTGCGAAGTCCCTTCCAGGGCACAAGCCGGAGGGGTCTCCTCTGATCCCTCCTTCACCCTCTCCCCAGTTTGCATTAGACACAGTGGATCCAGGAGTGAGATGGGATGTCCCTGAGCATCTGGTAGAGGAAAGAGAAGTGGGCAGCTGTGGCAGAGCCCAGTGTGAGTTATCTCAGAGGACCACGTGGCCCCTGGAGGACATGCTGGCGGCACATCTGACCCAGACCGGCAGGAAGAGAGAGAGGCGTGGAGGCCACAGGGCACTTGGAGGATGGGCATCCTGTGGTGGATGGGGAGCGTTCTGCCCATGGACATGGCCTGGGTGAGGGTATAGGAGGCTGAGGCCAGGCATGCTGAGGGGCTCGAGGTCCTTCAGTGCCACTGGAGCATGTCACACAATGTCAGGGCTATGGGAGTCCAGGCCAGGAACTCAGCAGAAATCAGGGCAGGAGAAGCCACTGCTGCCCGTGCCACCTGACCCTGGCTGCTGCCGCACTCAGTGGATGCTTACCTCCACGCCTAGAGGGAGAGTGACAGGCTCTGCCTGCCCACAAGTTCACACTGCACGGCATCCCATCCGCCCTCACTGAGGCTTCTTTGCTGTCCTGTGGGCCTCAGAGGGTACAGGCGTCATTTTCATGACAGGTGAGGGGTCTCAGGCCAGAGAGGGCAGAGACCTGCCTGGTTGCACGCAGCCCTGGGATGTGAGTCTCTGCATCCTAAAGCCAGAGTTTCCCCTGGGAGACTATAGTGGAGGGGAGGCAAGGCCAGAGCGGGTATAACAGAAACACCAGGGGCAGCACTGCAGGTTCAAAGCCGGCCTTAGGATGTAGCTGCTCTGGGACTATGCACCATACTTAACATTTCCGGAACGCTTTGTCTTTTGTTTATTTATTTTTTTGTCCAGCAGTGCAACAGGTGTGCTCTCCACTTGCTAGTGAGCACGAAGGGGCATGGAGTCCTTCTCTGCCTAAGCCTTGTAGGTGTTAAGTGCTCACTCCACAGCGGTTGGTGCCATTTTCTCCATGCCGTGGTCTGGCCTGATGCAAACCCATCAACCACTGCTGTGTGTCTGGCTTCCAAGGCCACAGAAAGGGGGCATTGGGCCTGCTGGTGCTGAAGTGTCAGCAACCTCTCCGGGACTAGGCCAACTACGGTGGTCTCGTTTCCCTCAAACAGGAAACGCAACACAACTGGCAAGGTCGAGGGTAC